CGGGGCCCCCCCGCCGCTAAGTACTCAATAGGGTACCACTGGGGGGCCCCCCAAGTCCATGGGGTTGGGGGCCCCCCGCAACACAGATGCCGTGGAGGGGGGCCCCTCAGGTCAAAGTACCCATACAGAGGGGCCCCCAATACCTCATAGGGCAGGTGGAAGTTCCCCAATGGGGGCCCCCTGAGGGGCCCCAATGGGGGCCCCGCAGGGGCCCCCTAAGGGGCCCCCTGAGGTGCCACCTGAGAGGCCTCCTGTGGGGCCCCCTTATGGGCTCCATGTGGGGCCCCCATGAGAGGCTCCCTGTGGGGGGGGCCCCCCCATCAGGGGCTCCTTGTGGCCCCTTCCCTACAGGGGGCCCCGTGAGGGGCCCCCTGTAGGGCGTACCCCTGTGGGGCCCCCCTTGTGGGGTCTACTGAGTGGCAGCCTTACAAATTCCGATGCAGCAACGCCTTTGTGGAGGCCTCATTAGGGGCCCCCCTGAGGGGGCCCCTGAGGGGCCCCCCTAAGGGGGCCCCCATGCAAGAGGCCCCTGGGTGTGAGGGTGTTTGAGGAGACCGAAGCTTTTTTTGTTTGGATGGTGGGATGGAGACAGCAGAAGAAGAGACAAAAATAAAAATAAATATATTTAACAGCCATTAGCGCCGTATTATATATATAAATATGCACACATATATGTATATATATTAAATGTATATTTAATTATACATATATTAAATGTATATTTAATTATATATATTTATATTTAAATATATATGTTTAGATGTTTCTATATGCTTATATGCATACAGACATAATCGATATGCATGAATATATATACACATATAAATACTTATACAAATATAATATATTTATTTATATATATCTGTTAGTGAATTATTGGTGTACGTTAATAATGATATAAAATAATTAAAAGAAGAAATAAATATAAAACTTAAAGGCGAGTTGTGTATAATGTTGGGGTGTATAGGCACCTCAAGGGTTTGCTGCCTTCGAAGAGAAGGGCGATACAATTATTCTTCTCTGTAATTAATTAATTAATTAATTAATCAACTAATTAAATATAATAATATTTAATTAAATATATTAATTATATTCTTTTAAAACAAAAGAGCTTGTAAAAACACGCTGAAAAACAACACCCTGGGGGGCCCCACACCATCGATACCCTTTTGGGGGCCCCTGCAGCAGCAGCAGCAAAAACAGCAGCAGCAGCGACAAGAACAGCAGCAGCAGCAAATGCTTGTATGAACTTATGCAGGCCTTCAGGAGACGGTAAACATTGCGGCTGCAGCAGCAACAGCAGCAGCAAGACGCACAGCCGCAGCAGCAGCAACAGCAGCAGCAGCAACCACCGCAGCAGCAGCAGCAGCAGCGGGAGGCCTTGCTGTGTACGCGATGTCTTCTCTATGCTTTTTGTCTGCTGTCTTTGCATTATTTATTTGCTGTCTCCCCGTACCCTCTCTCTCTTTCTCTAGGGGGCCCCCTTCTGTCTCTCTATCTACTTTACATACACCACCACCAGCACCCTGGGGCCCCCAGCAGCAGCAGCAGCAGCAGCAAGCAGCAGCAGCAGCAGCAGCAGCAAGTCCTTCCCTCAGCAGCATGGCGTCTGCAAGAGGAATACGTTTCCTTCTAAGTGCTGCTGGTGGGGGGCCTCCTATCCCTCGTAGGCTGCTGCAGGGGGCCCCCGGGGGGGCCCCCCTGGGGGCCCCCCTAGGGGGCCCCCAAATGCTTAGGGGGGCCCCCTTGGTTGAAGCGAGGGCTTCATCAACGCTTGCAGCTGCAGCAGAAGCTGCCCCGCTGCGAACAGCAACACCAGCAGCAGCAAGACGAGAAGCAGTAGCAGGAGTAGCAGCAGCAGCAGCAGCAGCAACACCAGCAGCAGCAGAAGCAGCAGCAGCAGCAGCAGCAGCAGCAGCAGCAGCAGGGGAAGCTCCAGTGAAGCGAATTTTCACTCGGACGAAACAAATCGCTACTATTGGCCCCGCTTCCTGGGAAAAACATCAGGTACTAAACCCTAAACCCTAAACCCTAAACCCTAAACCCTAAACCCTTATGGGCCCCTTTACGATCTGCATATCTCCTATTCCTTCACCACTACTGCTGCTTTTGCTGCTGCTTCTACTACTACTACTACTACTACTACTACTACTACTACTACTACTACTACTACTACTACTACAACTGTTATTTCTGCTGCTGCTGCTGCTGCTGCTGCTGGTGCTGCTGCTGCTGCTGCTGCTGCTGCTGCTGGTGTTTGTGTGCAGATTGAGTCATTGTTTTTGAGTGGCGTAGATATATTTCGTCTGAATTTCTCTCACGGTGCGTTTAGTGAGAAGCTGCAGCAATATAAATATATAAGAGAGATAGAGAAAGAATATAAAACCCCCCTAGCTGTGCTAGCAGATCTACCAGGGCCCAAGCTGCGCTTGGGGGCCCTAGAGCCTGAGCATCAGCAGCTGCAGCAAGGGCAGCAGTTTCTTCTTGATGCAGGGGGGGCCCCCGGGGGCCCCCATAGGGCCCCTGTTCAGCAGAAACAAATATTAGGGGCCCTTAGACCCGGTCATAGAGTACTCATTGATGATGGTAAGGTGCGCCTAAGGGTGCTAGAACTGTCTCCTTTGCTGCAGCAGCAGCAGCAACAGCAGCAGCAGCAGCAACAACAGCAGCAGCAGCAGCAGCAGGAAGAAGAAGAGGAGGAGGAAGGGTTTGATGGGGGTTTATTATGGGTACGATGTGTGGTGGAGGTAGGGGGCCCTATCAGCAGCAAAAAGGGTGTATCTCTACCTGACAGCTTTTTATCTCTCTCTTCTTTGACAAAGAGAGACAAACAAATTGCAGCAATGGTGCACAGTTGGGGTGTAGACTGGATTGCTGTCTCCTTTGTTCAATCGGCAGCAGATGTGCATGCTCTTCGCTCTTTCTTAATACAAGAAACAAACAAATATCATTCGGGGGCCCCTAACAACTATATAGGGGGCCCCTCCTCTATGGGGGCCCCCAACAACTATATGGGGGGCCCCTCCTCTATGGGGGCCCCTGATTGGGGGGCCCCTTCTAAAGGGGCCCCCTCATGGATAGGTGTATCCCCAGGAGTGGGGGGCCCCCTTGGGGGGGCCCCCTATATGGGGGCCCCCTATATGGGTACCGGTGGTTGTCGAGTACCTTTAATAATGGCGAAGATAGAGAAGAGAAGAGCTCTGATGAATATCGAAGAGGTAGTAGGGGCTGCAGACGGTGTAATGATAGCTCGAGGGGACTTAGGATTAGAGATAGGCCCTGAAGAGTTAGCTGAAGCTCAAGGGTTTGTTGCTGCTGCAGCACGAAGAAAGAGAAAACCGTTTGTTGTTGCTACTCAAATGCTAGAGACGATGATAGATAGATCGGTACCCTCAAGACCTGAGGCTCTTGATGTTGCTGCAGCAGTGCTGCTAGCAGCAGATGGAGTTATGCTCTCTCAAGAGACAGCAGCAAGTAGTAGGGGGCCCCTAATTGTACAGACCCAGCACTCTATTATTCAGTATACAGAGAGCACAGAGCGCCTCTGGAACTATCAAACCCTAAGGGGGCCCCTCGCTCGTTGCTTTCTTGCTGCAGCAAACAAATTATGCGAGGCACCACCAGAGGGGGCCCCCCTCAGCCTTACGCCTCCTGCTGCTGCTGCTGATGAGCAAATGCAGCAGCAACTGCAGCAGCAAATGGAGCAGCAAATGCAGCAGCAACTGCAGCAGCAAATGGAGCAGCAAATGCAGCAGACAGCAGCACTTGCTGCAGGTGCCGAGGCTTCTTCTCGTCTTGCTAATGCTAAGGCAATTCTACTCTATACAAATAATTTGGGGGCCCCTCTTTATTTAGCTTCTCTTCGTCCCAGGGCCCCCATTATTGCTGCAACTGAAGACCTACACTTAGCAAGGCAGCTTCAACTCTTCTGGGGGGTCTTACCTGTCTATATCAAATCTAAAAAACAGTATTCAGTAAACCCTAACAATCAATACCCATATACACTACAATGTCAATCACAAGGGGCCCCAGAGGGGCCCCCCCACGAGGCCCCCACAGAAGCCCCTCAAGGGGCCCCCCTAGGGGCCCCCCAGGGAGGGGCCCCTCAAAGGGGCCCCCAGGGGGCCCCTCAAGGGGGCCTCCATGAGGGTTTAGAAGACGAGGGAGAGGAAGAGGGTTTAGAAGGATGGATTGAGGCAGCAAAAAGAAAAGCAAGAGAAGAAGGCGTGCTGCAGCAGCCAACAGATGTCTTAGTTGTTATGGGGCCCCTTGAAGAAGGGGGCCCTAACAAAACAGCAGCACGAGAGGCAATCACCATTCGTACTGCAGGATAATAACTCAAACTTCATGCTTTAGGGTTTAGGGTTTAGGGTTTTGGGTCTAGGGTTTAGGGTTTGGGTGTTTAGTGCTTGGGCGTCTAGGGCTTCGTGTTTTGGGTTTAGGGTTTAGGGTTTATTGCTGAGGGTTTAGGGTTTAGGGTTTATCGTTGAGGGTGTAGACGCTTAGGGTTTAGGGTGTAGTGTTTAGTGTGTAGGGTTTAGGGGTGAAGGCTAAGGGCTTAGGGTTTAGGGTTTAGGGTTTAGGGTTTGGTTGGTTTTCTATCATAGCTTCCTCGTCGCTGCTCTGTTACGCGCTAGCAAAGCCTCTCTTCGTCTCCTCTCTATGAGGGTGCAGCTAGCTAGCTACAGCTATCTACAGCTAGCTACATGTATGTACAGCTAGCTATAGCTGGCTATAGCTAGCTAGCGCTCGCCACAGCTAGCTACAGCTAGCTACAGCCAGCTTCGGCTACCCAGGGCTTCCTGCAGCTCTCTACGACCAACCACAGCTAGCTACAGCTAGTTTAAGCTAGCTACAGCTAGCTGCAGCTAGCTACGTGAGGATCCGGAGGTGTAGCTAGCGGTAGCTCGCTGTGGCTAGCTACAGCTGGTCATAGCTAGCCACACCGTCAGGCGTAGCTAGCTGGAGGTGACTCAATATTTTATTTTAATTCTGCTAAATAAACGAAGCAAAAGGAGAAGAGGCTGCTGTTGTGCTTCGGGCTGAGTAGGGGCGTGGGGTTGTGCTGCGGTGCTGCTGCTGCTGCTGCTGCTGCTATTTGCAGCGTGAGAGAAATAAACACATCAAATAATTAATATTTATAATTAATAATAATTTAATTAAATAAAGAGGGAGATAAAGCCGAAGGAAATAAAGCAGAACTGAACAGAGAGCTCAGCAGCGCAAACGGTCTGCTGCTGCTGCTGCTGCTGTTGCTGCTGTTGCTGCTGTTGCTGCTGCTGAGGTTGCAGCTGCTGCGGTGTCTGGGCCTAGACATGCCTTTATATCTCTTTTGTGTTTAATAAAAGTAATTATAATTATAAATTAATTCAAATTTCAATTAATTAGTTAAAATAAATAAATAAATATACCCTGCACACACCCAAGCCAAGGAGGCGCCCCCCTCCCTCGCCGAGGCGGTACACCTGGGCTGTCTGCTCCTCCAAACCCTAAACCCTAATCCCTAAACCCTAATTCCTAAATCCTAAGCCCTAAACCCTAAACCCTAAACCCTATAGTGTACGTGTGTATAAGGGTTATTTAAATTGATTCCAGTTGTGGCTGCTCCTACCTCTCTCCCTTTTCTGCTGTAGATCTGTCGACCCTCAAACCCTAAACCCTAAACCCTAAACCCTAAACCCTAAACCGTCGGAGACAAGATGCGCGCTCTTTATTTAATCATTACCCTCTTCTGTTTCTGCTGGACGAGGGTTGTTAGCGGTCGTTTGCTGCAGCCCTCTGCAGCATTCTTGTCTCGCAGCGGAGTGAGCCTCTAAACCCTAAACCCTAAGCCCTAAGCCCTAAACCCTAAACCCTAATTTCTAGGTAATGTATAATATATATGTGTGTTGGTCTGTCTCTTGTTATTTTTAGGGTTATGGGGGTTTGTCTTCTGCTGCCTCAGCAGCAACTCCAACATCTTTAGCATCCCCTGCAGCAGCAGCAGCAGAACCAGCAGCAGCAGCAGCAGCAGCAGCAGCAGCAGATCAGCGAGGAAAGACGCGGTGTTATGGTTACCCGTTAACCTATGGGGCCTCCTCATCTGCTGCAGACAGCAACAGCGTTGCTCTCGTTACAGGGGCTAGCAGAGGCATCGGCTTGGCCGTAGCGAAGGCCTTAGCTACTGGAGGCGTTAAAACAATTCTTTGCGTCGCTAGAGACCAAGTAAACCCTATTATCCTGCTGCTGCTCGTTTTGCTGCTGCTGCTCATTATGCTGCTGCTGCTGCTCGTTTTGCTGCTGCTGCTCATTATGCTGCTGCTGCTGCTCATTATGCTGCTGCTGCTCATTATGCTGCTGCTGCTCATTATGCTGC